TTTTTTTTTTTTNTTTTTTTTTTTTTTTTTTTTTAGGAGCCGAATTGTTTATTCCAAAGGATATGCCGGAATCGTTGTTTCTCTTCTTTATTGAATTTTTTCAGTATTTGTTCACTTTGTTGTTCACTCTTTCCTCAATCAAAAGTTAAATGGTCGGCTATAAAGAAGTGACATATGGGACAACACTCACTCCGACAATTGCACATACGTTTTTGGTTTACATCCTGTAGCAACTTGTAAAAACGATAGAATGACGAGGTGAAGAAATTCGAAAGAGGGGAAAACTTGTGACAATGGGTTTCAGTCTGTCGCTTAAAGATTCTGGAAGGGATTACGAAAGAGCGACAAGATTGGGGGGGTTTTTTTTTGATATAAATAGGGCACTTTCCCACTATTGAAACCACAATCAATTGCTTGAGAAAGCATTAAAGCCTTATTGATCGATTGTAATTTCTTTACTCTTGAAAAGATAACCAATAGTCTTTTATTTTAATTTGCATCGTTTTCCTCATTTGCAAATTCCTTTTTACTTTTATATTTCACTTTTTATATGACATCTTTTGTCAACAATTGATCCTTTAAGTGTTCATTTCTACCTCAAGTAATCCATTTTTATCGATTCATTCATCCATTTTTTTGATTCACATTTTTTTACTTATTTGTCTACGTCTCTTTTTTGATATTACTCACTTCAACAAATTGTCCGCCTTTTCCCAAGATTTCAAGATGAAGTTGTTTTCTTCCGTTTCTCTTTCTTATGCCTTATTCTCCATTTTAGCTTGTAGCCCAATTTCTTCTCTTGCGGCTCCTTTAACCGAGCGTTCTGATATCAAACAGAATGAAGAATTTTCTGTAATGAGCCTCCGCTCAGGTGACATTAACGTTCATTTCCATTCCTTTTATGTTGGTGACAACAATAACGTCTACCTCGATCCTTATGATAATGGAAATCAAGCGGCCAAGTTCACTTTAGCAGATACTTATTTACTACATGAAGGATTTTCTGCTCACCTTGGCGATAATGGTGCGTTATATTTTCAACGTAATGATGAGGGTTCTGTTCCTGGATTTACTTTTGGAGAACGCATTGCTTCTGGCTATGCTCTAGTTCTTAATGGACAAAGCCCCATAGCTTGTCCTATCGAAGAGGATTCCTCTGTTTACTCTGTCTTCTTTGGTAAAGGGAATGGTAATAGCAAGTGTGTTGGCTTTACAGCCCTTGCACTTCCAAATAATCCTGCTTCTTCTTCTTCTTCTTCTTCTTCTACTGCAGCTCCTTCCAATGCTAAAGTATAAGATTTTGTTCCCATTGGAAGCAAGAAGGCGAAAAAAGCTAATGGAAAAGATGTAAAAGAAGCCAATGACGGACCTCCCATTTTTCCTAGTGCCGTTCGTTTTTTCAACTTTACTTGTCCAAACACTAATTATGGCGCAGTATTATCTCCTATTGTTTATCCCAAAAGCAAGATGATCACGTCAATTCCATTTTTAGTTTTGATTCTCCTCGGATTGACGAAAATGACTGTCATCTTCACTTTCATATCGATAAAAAAGTTGATGGCCCCATTGGCATTAAAGAATTCAAGCTCTACGGCCTTACTTCTGTCGCCGATATTCTCACTACTTGGGCAAATTACCCTGCCCACAAAACTGAAATCGGTCGCTTTAATTGCTCTTCCAATGGTTAGTGATTACACTACGAATATCAATTGCCCTCACCGTTACCTAACTATCTCTTATGAGTTTTCCGCTATTGCTGATAAGTCGTACCTGAAATACTAACAAGAGACTAACCCCATTGAAGGTCTCTACTTGACTGTTTAAACAAATTATTCTATCTACAACCTTTAGCGATAATTTATATTATTATTTTTGTCAGATTATGACAATATCTACATATTACCTTTTGTTTTTAGATATGTTATAAAGTGTTTATGTATTCTTTATAAGTTAGAGGAGTATTCTTTATTTGATAGTTTGAAATTATACGCTAGCTTACTTCCTTTGTCAAACTTGGACGGCTAATTGTAGGAATTGTGTACATCGTTTTACATTTCGTTTACGATTACAATGCATAAAATTGATTATTAAAGTGGAATTTTTTTACATGATCTTAAGGGGCCAAACCAATCTAAACCAGACTAAAAGTGGTGTGTATTATAACGAGAAGCAGAGCATAATATTAGTAAGCTTTGATTACAGACGTCTACGGCCACACCTAGGCGAAAACACCAGTTCCCGTCCGATCACTGCAGTTAAGCGTCTGAGGGCCTCGTTAGTACTATGGTTGGAGACAACATGGGAATCCGGGGTGCTGTAGGCTCCCCTTTTATTTTTTGCTTTCCTTTCTCTCACATCTGGTAGAGTGCAGACCTTATAAAATAATCATAAATTATTAAAAGCATTATTTTAAATATCTCCTGTAGCTACCGTTAACGTCGACCGCATGGGTGTTTACAAAAATTATTCGTTTCTTATGTGTAATAAGTTAAAAAGGACATTTTAGAGTCAAACAGTTCAAGAAAATAGAAAAAGAAAAAAGAAAAGGAAGTATAAAATAAATTCATTTGCTCATTTGCCCAATTCTCTTTTCAAGTAAAGAAGATATAGAAAAAAAGCCCTAAATGCAAACGGAAGATTCCTTTTTATAAACAAAAACAAGACCAAGGCTTCTATTACCAGTCTCTCATTATATAAGAAACCTAATAGCAATTCCCTTCATATGTACACTTGAATGAGATCTGTAGCCATCCACCTCACCGACATAAAGAGTCCTCCTGTCCACCTTTGACAAATCGCTTCAAAGATCAGAAAATAAAAAGTTCTTTAAATAGGTGAATTATTAGTATTTTTTTTAAAGCCATTGTGATTAAAAACTATTCCATAATGGCATTTCTTTTCTTGGCATTGCTGCTCGACGTAAAAGATAGGCCCGAAAGGATTAATAGCGAAATCCAGAATGCGTCTTTGGTTTTATCACGTCCTTCAAAATACATAAAACAAGGGCTATGATGCAGCAAATCATCGTAAACTGTTGTGCTTTTCGAATGGCAAAAGTATAATCACCTAATACAATCTTCTGAATAGCCTCTGGTAAATCATATAAAGAAGACATGGATTTGGTAACTTTATGTATAACCTTTTGGATCTGCTTTTCATTGAGATCAGTGAATTCTGACAAGTCAGTGAATATTTTTTTCCTAAGAGTCGATTGAATGACCGCTGACAACCCCCCTACGCCAAATAATGAACCAATGCTTCTAATCAAATAAAGCGTTGATGTAGATGTAGCATGTGAATCTTGAGGAAACGCAAAAATGAATGAAAATAGAGAACTTGGAAATCCCATACCTTGCCCAACGTTGGCTGGAATCAAAAATAGACCTAGTAGTATTGGTGATATGCCAGGATATATAAACAAACTAAGAACATATCCTAAAGCCATGAGAAGCACTCCAAAAAAAAGTAGGCGTCCTACACGAACACGTTGGTGCATCAGAATACCACAAATCAATCCTCCCATAGGTGTAGACAACGACGGTAAAGCAAGACGAAGTCCGGCTTTGGAAGGGCTATCCCCCAATACCAGTTGAAAAAGTAATGGTAGTGTAAATAAATAGGCATACCCTGCCAATCCAGTGAGAAATCCGATTGTTAAAACAAGGGTACTGTATACTCCTCGAAGCAATTTCAATGGAATAATCGGCGCTGCTTTCGTGATCGATTCTACATATACAAATGCAGAAATACACAAAACTCCCAATAACAGTAAAAATTGAGAGGGTCCATATGTTTGAATGGATTTTGTACTACCAAGAGACAAAACCAGTAACAATGCTGTCAACCCAGATACCAACAGTAACCCTCCTAATATATCGATTTTTTTCAAAAGGACTCGATAGTTGTGAAGCCGTGTAAAGCCGGTTTGATTTTGTACAAAAAAATACCCTACGGCAATACTTGAAAGTGAAAAAGGAACTTGGATGAGAAAACAAAATCTCCAACTAAATGCTTCACAAAGTACACCTCCAAAAGATGCTCCACAAATGGCACCAAATCCTAATAACAGATTCTGAAATGCTTGGAACAGTCCTCGTTTTCTTGTTGGAATGATATCCGAGTTGATGATTGTCGACAGTGTGATCAATCCTCCTCCTCCAATTCCCATAAAACTCCTTGCAAAGATTAAAGATATGATCCCACTAGCAAAATAGCACCATAGACAACCAAGACTAAAAAGTCCCGATGCCATAAATAAACATACTCGCCTTCCTAAAATGTCTGAAAACGATCCATATAAAGGCTGAAACGTAGTACTAGTAATTAAATACGAAGTGGTAATCCATGACGCTAGATTTGCAGCGTGAAATTCTTCACCAATCGTAGTATAAGCAGAAGCTGTAACTGTCCCATCAAAACCAGCGAGGAATACGTTTAGAAATAATGAAACTTCTATCCAAATTAAGTTTGGTATTATACGAGCATTAGGAGTAGAGAGGCTTCCATTACTATCATTTTTAATTTGGGTTTCGGTGAGAGGTTTCGGTGTTGAGTTTGAAGTGACCTGAAAAGTGGTTTGCCGGTAGGAATTTGAGTCTAGCAAATTCAATGTTTCAGAAAGAGGTGTTGTTGTTTGTTCTTCTGGATTATGTGAACTCCCAGAATTCATTATAAAAAGTATCAAAAATTATTAAAGAACCAAAAAAAAAGAACGATAGTCGCCCAAAAAATGAATGGATATGAGAGATTTTGAAACTAGTTTTCTTTCTTTCTTTTCTCAGCCTTACTTTTTTAGCGAATATAGATCCTTGCAAGACTTTATGTTTTACCACAGGCGTTGTTGTAGCACCTTTTACAACGTTGTAGTAATTGCTCTTGTTCAATATGCGCAGTTGTTTGCTTTGACTATTTATAGGAACAAGAACTTGAAAGAAGCACGCAATACAGCCCTATCTCTTGCATCTGATTTGAAATAGGCATCAGGGTTAAAAGTGCATATGAGTCCCCTGGAAGAAATCGCTTGTTGAGCATGTGAATAAAACGATAAAGCTTAACGGTAGCTCCTATTCTTCTTGTTAGCAATACTAAGTATTGTGTAATAGCGAACTTTTAAATTCATGTTAAAGGACTTGGGTTAATCATAAGCTAAAGGATAGAGTTGTCAAGAGTGAGTTTATAAAGATTGGGGTTTTGCAAACGAAGTACAGAAACAATTAGGCTTAGCTGCGATAGATGAATAGGAAGAAAAGAATACATAACAAAATCGTTTTAATTTAATAATACTTTTTTTTTTACTATCGATTCCCAAGTACCGAACCATTGCAAAATTCTATGATGTACCTACCCCACTGGTAGAAATTGCACTAAGCGGGGTTCTCAGATCCCAATTCCCAATGAAAAAGCAGCCGATGAGAATCGAACCCGTTTCCTTCTTACGGGATTTCCTTTAGATAACAACAATTCATTTACTGTGCGGTAAATCCCTTTAATATGACTTAAGAAAATGCCCGTATATTATATAACACTAAAGCAACCTTTATTAGTCTATGTATTTTCGTCCTACTTAGCCTGTTGTTCCTCTCCTTCCACTATTGATCGATCGATGTTGGTTCAAGTCGGCAGCCCAAGAGAGTATTCAACCGTGGATATCTCAACGAAGATACAAATCGAAAAAAGATAGCATCCTCCTACTCATATTTTTTCCTTTTTTACATACATCAAAGAAAAATTTACAGCAAGATTAAACAACATTCTTAGATGTGATTAGACAATTCAACCAAAAGCGTAAACAGATATTTGGTATACCTCTGCATTGTACAACGGGTATACCACTCCATTTTACAGATTCCAAATTTTATTAAGCAATTCGTGGAATGTAACTACTTCATGACTTCAGTAAGCATAAACTAAAAAGGGCCAAAAAGCAGTGATCATGTTCTTCTTCCTGCAAGCAGTGATTTCGTTCAGATTAGATAACTTTCTATCAAGCAGTACGTAATATAGATGACAAGCAACTATGTACGAAGTTCACAACCCAAATATTCGAAAATACAAGTACAAGTACAGAAAAGTACAGTGTATGGTGAAATCATGGATTTGGTTAACCGAATTGAAAGTAGACGAACTTTTCTAGTACTTTCAAATCAAATCTTCAGATGAAAAGTAATGGATTCATAATTTTGCAGAGTTTCAATAGTTCATTCGTAATTGTGTTACTTTTGGACAAACTCACCATCATAAACTGCGATTTCACCTTTCGGTCAAAGTTATAGAAAACAATATGTTGTATTGATATTTTAAACAACTTTAATCAAAAAGGAGGAAGCAGAGATGACTGGAAACAAGCACCAAAAACAACAGGAAAGTTAGTAGCTAATAAGGGCCAGGCTAGCTAACAATCCCGAGTTTCTACCGAAACAAATTAAGCATGTCTTTGTATAAAATATAAAAATAATCTGCTCGTAAGACATCTCAATCTCAATCTCAACTGGACACTGACACGCTGACAATAACAACCATTCAATAAAATGGGCATAGCATAAAAACATTACTTTGTATGATCGTTCAAAGTCGGAGAACCTGTGTCTCCAAAAGTTTGCATCTCTATTTCTTGCTCTCTTGCAGAATGCCCAACAGACTTTTTTGAATGATTTGCTTTGGTATGAATTTTCCCAAAAGGAGAACTTGGCACTTCAATATTGTTAGGTGTACTTGTTGGGGTCTCGACCCTAGCATCTAGCTCGTCAAGTTCAACGAAGTTTGTTGAATCTGGATCATTCCCAAAGCTTTGATTAGTTGTATATCCGAAAATGATTGTCAAAGGCAGTATAAATTTTCTCCAGAAGTATGGAAATATTCTTCCTAAGACACGGTCTAAGAGATACTCAGAGAAATGTCCTAAACTACGCCCTAGAAGCACAGCCAAATCTGGAACCATAGATATACACCAAACGATGATGTCCAATACAACTAAACGCTCAAGTTAGCAAGAAATTCAACGTACTTCAATTTGCTTTTCC